TAGTTCTTATCTTTGGTCCTCATTGTGGGTGAGATATTTAAATCAACGGCCCGCAAGAACCAAGGACGAATGAACCCCAATCCGTTCGATGTAAACCTTCGCAGTGGTGCGTTGATATGGAATAGCAGTGACCGGTGATTGTTAGCGGTGGTGGACGACAATGGTGAGGTGATGCGAAATCTAGGGTTACGGTTTGAGAATTTTTTGGTGCCAACAATGAGTTTTTTTCACCAATCCAATGATATTAGACCGGTAGTTGACCTTTTTCATGTTCACTTGTTTGGGACTAGCGATTTAATCGAGTGTACCTTTGACATGGGCTTCCTCTCTCTTTCTTTTGCCATCAAATTTACAAGGAACACTTGTTTGTTTAAATAGAAACAAATTTAACATTACTATTCATAAATGAATAGTGATAATAACCGTAAATTATATGTCATGTGAATCATGGGATGATCATGGTAAAATATTATGTGAATAGCTGGTGTATATGTTCACATGAACAGGTTATAACACATGACAACCCAACATTGACATAAGGAGGGGAGAACAGTCACACATTACAACAACAAACCAGCAAAAATAAACATGATGTAAATGTTTGTGATGGGTAAGGTCTTGTATTGTTAATGTTGCCATTGGTTTGTAGTCATTACCAATATCTAACAATCTGATGTAAATATTGACCTTATATACAATGGAATTCAGATGGAACCAAAAAAGGGTTGGCAACCATCCAAGATTACGGGCTCTACATCAACAAGCAACAATACTAACAACTTTGTCAATATCTACATCATATTCCATTGAAAACAGGAGTTGAATATTGACATTGATGTCAGAATGTAATTATTTCATCACCATCGACAACTAATAACATTAACAAATCTGACATTGACACAAGGGATTAGATAAGGAGTGTATTACAAAACAATAACATGACAATTTAAGACAAACAAGTCATTATCAATATTTAACAGTCTAATGTAAATATTGACATTATGTACAATGGAATACACGTTGAACCAAAAGTGGGTTGACAACCATCCAAGATTAGGGGCTCTAATTGCTTGATAACCATCAACAAGTAACAATACCAACAACTCTGTAAATATTTACATCATATTCCATTGATGTTAGAAGTTGAATATCTATATCATATTCATAATGTGAATATTGACATTGAAGTATATATTTACATCAATGTGAATATTTACACCATATTCACATCATATTTGATCACTCTTTAAATATTGTACAGATTATGTATAATGGAATACACATTGAGTCAAAAGAGGGTTGACGACCATCCAAGATGAGGGCTCTAATTGCTTTATAACCGTTAACATGCAACAATACCAACAACTCTGTAAATATTTACATCGTATTCCATTGATGTTAGAAGTTAAATATCTATATTATATTCATAATGTGAATATTGACATTGAAGTATATATTTACACCAATGTGAATATTTACACCATATTCATGTCATATTTGATCACCCTTTAAATATTGTACATATTATGTATAATTGAATACACATTGAACCAAAAGAGGGTTGACAACCATCTAAGATTAGGGGCTCTAATTGCTTTATAACCATCAACACGCAATAATATCAACAACTCTGTAAACATTACATCATATTCCATTGATGCTAGAAGTTTATTGAAATCAAGTTTGCTAAAAGCGTGCTTGTTTCAGCATTATCATTTTTAGGAAAACGCTTTTGAATTTCTGAAAGAAATTCACCGGCAACGGTAACATCCTCTGTTATTGCACCCCGAAAAACTTCTGGAATCCCACGCTTCATGATCATAAGACTTAGCCTGTTAGAACGATCCCACTTTTCAAAGTACACAGTTTCCTCAGGAGTACTTTGTGCAGTGAGAGCATTCGGTTTTGGCATCCATGCAGCCGAGAACAATCAATATGTTCTCTTTCCAGTCCTTAAAGTTTGTTCCATTTAACATTGGAACATTGTTCATGTTGGCAGAGATTGAAGTAGTCGACATTAAAACCGAATAGAAAAGAAAATAAAAGGAATAAACAATTATGCTCACATTAAGTTACCAAACAGATAATCTCTAAATAAATTAATTTAATGACAACATCTCAAGATACCTAGCACAACATTAATACCAAGCCTTTGGGTAGTGATATTAACTGTAAGTGGTATTCTTGTTGTGATGATCAAACATTGACAATAAGTTATGTCAAATAACAAATCTATCTTTTGATGGATTTATTACTCACATTAGGTTTTCTTGACAATTGGCACATGTTTATCACCACAAAATGTGTGTGTAATTCTGCCAAGTCTTAATCATGTCTTTGGACCGATAAATACCCGCATGAGATACACAGACATGAACTTCAAAACATTCCATATAAAACAATCTGACAAGAGAGATCACTTTTGTGACATCTTGTTTGAATTGACTTATATTGAGAATGTTAGAAAATTAAATTTCTGTAGACGTTGTATGAAATTACATTAAATTTAAAGATTTCTAAATTTGTGACCCCGTATATGTTATATAATCTGAAGCAATTCCAATTATATATATACATATATAAATAGAATTGACGGGTCCAAAAACAAATAGTTTTTTTTTTATGATGTTCAAAATTAAATGGATCAAATCGCAAGATATATCTATATATAAAAATACATGATGTTCATCCATTTGAGAGGAAAAAAAAAATTGTCCACCGAATCATTTTACAATTCCAGAAAACAGATTGCCATTTTCACAGAATAAAACAGGAAAAAACAGAATTTACATCCATAAGAAAATTCAGAATCTGTTTCCAAGAAACTAAATAGAATGAATAAAGCATATCAATTCTGATAAGACACATGATATGCATGCTCTGATACCAATTGTCAACATAAATTTCAGAACATAAACCTTACATTTTGGATCATTTACCATGTGTATTATCAAGAAATCAAGACAAAATGACATACCTGAATGCATTGATGAACGGTTAAACGGAAGCGTGATTATCAATGAACTCTTTGTTATTGCTTATGTTATTGCCTTCTAATCCTTTCCCCTTTGGTGCCTCATGTTTCTCCTTGAGAGGATTTAGAAAGAAAAATGGCAGTGTTCTTATTTTTCCACTTGGGAAGGAATAAGGACCATAATCTTTTAAAGGTTGTAATTGGTTTTCAAAACTGAAAGGTTGTGGAAGTTCAAAAGGAATGAAAACCAACTTTAACCAATATGTTTTAATTTCTATTTCTGCCCCTCATAGAAATAGAAATTATACAACTAGTATCTACACATTAGGTCCATAACACATATACCCTTAAGCCTATTAACTAAATTGAATCACTTAAATTGTAAGCTTCTTATAAATGATAACACCACATTTAATTATGTGGTCCCATTGAGACATTATCTAATAGTGCATTGATATGGAATAGCAGTGACCGGCGATTGTTAGCGGTGGTGGACGACAATGGTGAGGTGATGCGAAATCTAGGGTTACGGTTTGAGAATTTTTTGGTGCCAACAATGAGTTTTTTTTTTTGGAATGAATGTGTTGTGAAGTGAAGAGATGGAATAGCAACGGTTGAGTTTTCAGGATAGAGTATGCGCGGGAGAAATAGAAAGATGGTATTTTGGTCTTATTACACTGAATGGGATCTAATGGAATAATAAAAAATGATTTAGGTTTTATAGTATAAAAGTCTTAGGAATGGAATTTATGAATAAAACTCCCTAATAATAATAATAATAAAATCCAATTGAGCAGGGCTGCTTGACTGGCTAGGTGTGAACAATCTTCATATATGCCAATGTCTTGCTTGTTATTCTTTACATAATAATAGCTAGAATTAAAAAATCATGAACCCCAACAACTATCACAAGCCGAGCTCAAGAAAAAATAATAATAATAAACACTGGAAAATGTATTAAACTCATTACATAATAATTAAATACGCAACGTTAATTACCCAAAAAAATAATGATAAAAATTCAACATCACACTTTTACTATTTTGAGCTGTAATTAAAATAACTTGGGGCATAATCATAAACTACTTTTGATTTATTTTTTATATTTTGTTGTAAATTTTGTAATTATTTATTGGATATTGTTTAAGAATTTAATATCCAGATCTTTTATTGTTTCTTTTATAAAATCTTGGAATTTTATATCATTATTTTTTTACTAAGTTAATATCCACACTCTTATGAATTCTTTTATAAAATTCATATTTTGCTATGGATGTGATTTTATAAATCTATCATCCACACTATTTCAAACTATAAATCTATCATCCACACTATTTCAAACTATAAAAGGTAAGAAAAATAAAAGAAAACCCTTTTTGTCTACTCTCATAAAATTAAGCACCACAAGACTTAACTGTCCATTGTCTATCACTTTTTCGGAGCTGTAATTGCGGTTAGTGAAAAAATTAATTACTAAAATATAGAAATTTCATCTGAACACCTTCGCTCCAAATTACTTTAAACTAAAAATTTTGAGAGAACATTTTGGTGACGGACCTGTGATTTTAAGTTTGAGTCAATGGAATGGTGTCAATCTCTGCCACAATAATTTAATTATATTAACCTACTAATATCCTATCGTGTGAGCTAAATATTTTTTTTAGGCTTCATTTATTTTGCCTAAAAATTTTCTGCACTCCAAAATATTTTTCATATAAATTAATTTTACACAAAAAATATAAAAAAAGAATCCGATGTTTGGTTGACATATTTTACTGTTAAGAAAGCAAATAAAGAGTAATTTTACTAAAAGGCCAAGTTAAAAGTGAACTTTTTTAAAATTAATTTACAAAATTTTTATTAGAAAATTATTTTAAAGACTATGGAAAAAAAAAATTATTTACCTTTTGTTACCAAACAACAAAAAAATGCATAAAATATTTGTAAATATAAAAAATGAGGTCCACGAGGTTATTATTAATTCAACCAAACAGATCGTTAGCGTTAACGGGTCGACCCGACATTTATCGAATTGGGAAACTCCTCCGGAATCAAAAAAACTGAGTTATGCATCGAACTGTCTGAAAGTGTCAATGACTTCAATTCATAGCTTCTCACCAAAAGTAAATAAAAGTTGCAATTCATAGCTTTACCAGATCTCTCTTCCTTGTCCCTCAAATCGTTGAGAAAAAACAAGGCTTTGATTCGTTTGGTTTATTAATCTCTCATTGTCTTCCTAGTTTTCCCATTCTCTGAATCTCCAATTCCATTACCACGAATGGCCAAGGACTAGAATGATCAGTGAACAACGACTACGATCTTCCTTGTCTGGTGAGTTTTCTTTCTCTGTGCCTTAATTTGTATTATTGATTCAATCGATCTTTTTTTATTTGAGGGTTTTGCTTAATCTAGCAGTATTTGTAAGAATTGTTTTTACATGGATTTATTACAATGGGTTTAACCAAATCTGGATGCCCAATTCTATTTAATGTCGGATTATTGGTTTTTTTTGTCTTTTATAAGTAATTGGATAGGTTGAATATAATTTTGTACTCTTTTGCCGGATAAATCAGAGTGTTATGAACAATGGTGTTTGTTTTGTAAAATTAACATGAAACAAATTTTATTTTTTGCTTAGTTTTTGATTCATTCAGGTTCAATATTGATTTTTGAATGGGAACAATGCAAACACAACTTCACTCTGCACATTCTTGCATTACTGATTACCAATGTTACGTGGACACTTCAAAATATATCAAATATCTGTGTTAAGACACTCGACACTTGGACAAGGGTATGGGCCATGTGTCCGATCCCTTCTTCTATTGAACACTTCTTATATATTTGTATTGAACACTATATATTGTGATGTAATTGCTATAAAATGAGTAAAACGTCTTCTTGACATTGTATGTAACATATAATGCCATTTTATCTAGCATAATAAATTAAAACATAGAATATAATAATTTTTGATTGAGTCTGCATATCCTTAAATTTGAGGTTTGATAGATTGAACCTTTGGATATGCACCCAACACTCGTGTCTAAGTCCATGTAACACAGCTGATTACTGTTAGTCTGACCACAGATTCACAATCTAGAACACTCTAATCTAATTTATATAATCCTGCCTCTTTGAAATTGTGGTTGTAGGTACCAAAAAAGAAAAAAAAACTAGAGAATATAGTTCTGGATACGAAAAAAGAAAAAAGAGGCAAAAGTAAAATAATTAATTATAATTTTTCAACCAGGCCAGATTTTTATATTTTTGAGTTTTGTAATAATTTTTTCATATCTTAATATGTTCTCAATAAGTCTTATATATAGTTTTAGTGATTAATATGAAAGCAGACTTTGTGTGGGCAATAGCAAATAGGGAAATTGTAGGTATTTATCATTTAATGCAGGAGCCAAAAAGGGGAGAATTAGGCATTTTGCCTATTGAAGTTGGATTTCGAATCTGTTCCAGCCCATTGATCATAGGTAGGGGTGTGCGCGGTGCGGGTCGGTGCGGTTTGAGAGAAAAATAGAAACCGTATGGCGGGTGGCGGATTGATAAAAGTGTCACTAGAATTTGTCACTTTCTTTATCAAAAACCGGCGGTTCGGTTGGCAAATAATGGCGGATTTGCCTTGGCAGTTCGGGCGGATTGGCGGTTTATAAAAAATATAATTCAAATTACAAAACTTAAATCAAAGAGTAAAAAAAAGACGAGAGATACCGTGATGTTAAGCATCTTGCGAAGCTTTCATCTGATGCAGCAAGTGTAGCAACAACATGATAATATCAACGACTATGCCATCAGTTCATTACAAGCATCTGTGGAAGCTACAATGATCAAATACAATACATAAAATTAATATCATAACAAAGACGACAACAAAGAGGTCTAAGAACTCATGGAAGATCCAAGTCATTAGGTCCATAAACCTGGCCAGTGTGTTGGTTAAACCAACTATATTCTAAGGTATAGAACAACAAGCAAACTTAAGTAAAAAAGTTTTTTTAGAATCTTATAAAACATGATTTAATAGCGGTTAATAGCGGTGCGGGTCGGTGCGGTTTGGAAGAAAAATAGAAACCGGCGAATTGATAAAAGTGTCACTAGAATTTGTCATTTTTCTTACCACAAATCGGCGGTTCGATTGGCAAATAATAACGAATTTGCCTTGGCGGTGCGGTTCGGTGCGGTTTCGGCGGTTTCGGCGGTATTATGCACACCTCTAATCACAGGTATGGTTCTCTTTTTGTTTCTCTTTCTCGTTCTCCGCTTCCCTGTTCTTCCCATCATCTATCTGTAATCGTTTTCCATATACCGAACCACCTCCTGTACTCTCAGTCAAGCCCATTCCCTTTCTACAAAACCCTCTCTGAAACCCCTCCCCCCATGTGCGAATCCCTACCCAACCTCTTCCCCTTACTGTGAAACTTTATCCCAAACCCTCTTCTACCTTGCTATGTTAAATTTGTACAAATGAATACATGATTTAGGGCAATCCATTTGCAAAAATTGGATTTGTGTACTGAAATTGTTCACTGCAAAGAAATTGTGTACTGAAATTGTTCCAGTGGCTACTGGGTCATGTTGCAAATTGTTCTCAGTCAAGCCCATTCCCTTTCTACAAAACCCTCTCTGAAACCCCTCCCCCCATGTGCGAATCCCTACCCAACCTCTTCCCCTTACTGTGAAACTTTATCCCAAACCCTCTTCTACCTTGCTATGTTAAATTTGTACAAATGAATACATGATTTAGGGCAATCCATTTGCAAAAATTGGGTTTGTGTACTGAAATTGTTCACTGCAAAGAAATTGTGTACTGAAATTGTTCCAGTGGCTACTGGGTCATGTTGCAAATTGCTGGTTTTAATTGTTGCTAAGGAAGAAAATGATGTTATTGTTATATGTGTAATTGCTGGTTTTAATTGTTCCATGAAATTGTTCCATTAAACTTTGTTTTTTTTTTATTATAAATAATTTAATTATATATTTTAAATAAATAAATATTTGCAAATGCCACGTCAATATATGCAGCATGTCATAAAAAGATTATTTATTTCAACCAAGCCAGATTTTTATATTTTTGAGTTTTGTAATAATTTTTTCATATCTTAATATGTTCTCAATAAGTCTTCATATATAGTTTTAGTGATTATATATGAAAGCAAACTTTGTATGGGCAATAACAAATAAGAAAATTGTAGGTATTTATCATTTTATCTACTTACATATATATATATATATATATATATATATATATTTGTGTGTGTGATTAAGTAGAAAGTGCCTCATTTTAGGAGTTGTCCTAGAGAACTCAGGGCCAACCCTGCTTATAACCGGGGCATCTTCAGACCAGAGTCTTTAGATTCAGTTTGGTACGAGAGAGAGATTGCAGAATTTTGTTTTGTTTGAAGAGCAATGGACAAATTGAGTGCTTTGGACTACATCAACCAGATGTTCCCCACAGGTCATCTCTATACTATTTACCTTCTCTCTATAATATCAATGTGTATATGCTGAATAGATCCTCACATTTCATGTCTTTTCTTTGTAAATTGTTTTCTTAGATTATTTCGTCAATCAATGTCGATGATCCTTGCGAGCCCCCTTCCAATTCCGCATGTATCTGGTTGGGTTTTAAGAACTAGTTTTCTGAACCTTTTTTTTTTCTTTGAAAAAAAAAAACTAAAAACTAATTTGGTGGAGAAAATGAAAAATAAAAATACTCGTCATTTTCACATGATTTTATATATTTTTAGGGACATAAATAGTTTTTAAAAATTTGTTATATCTTTTTGGTGTTTATTTTTGTCAAATTAATTTATTATTTAAAAAAAATTCAGAAAATGAACCCAAACTTTTGTATACTATTAATTTTTTTTTGAAATTAGTAATGTGCATATTTTTGGTTTACCAAAAGTATGAAAGATGCGATAATATATATGTGTATGTGTGTGTGTGTGTGTCATAGTTGAAGATGGAAATGGAAGATATTCCAAGTTTTTTCAAGTACAACATTTACTGTAGTAATTATATATGAATAAATGGGAAATAATTTCGACTTTCACAAAATTTTAAATGAATTGCTGAAAATATGAAGCATAAAGAGAAGTGGTGGTATGGAAAGTAAGCGTGAATTTTGAAGAGCATTTTGGGGTCAGTCATAACTGATACTGATATCAGTGCTACTCTTAATGACATTTGCCTTGTTCCAGATTTGCATATGCATTTTTGAACTTCATGATAAATCTTTTTAGGGTATGTCTTTCTTCTTAGTTGGTGCTTTTAACTTAATTGACAATTGACAATATCAAACATGGTTAATATGTAGAGGCCTCTTTGTCTGGTGTGGAGCCACTTATGCAAAAGATACATAGTGAGATTCGCCGTGTAGATGCTGGAATTTTAGCAGCAGTTCGTCAACAGGTCATACTCTCTTTGCACACTGTATTTTTGTTTCTTCAAGTATCAATGTAATAGTCATCTCAACCACAAAAACATCTGCTAAACCCCTATCCGTAGCCCTGCCAATCACCATACTCAAGACATTAACCACTAAAACGAATAGAAAAGGGGATAGAGGATCACCCTCCATTATTGGTGACAAACAACCATGGTTTAAGTAACATTATTGGGATATGTATCAATATTGGCGATACGGTCATATATTGGTCGATATCGGACAATATTGACCAATATATGGGTGAATAACAGTACTGGAAGTCCAAAATCCCATTACATATCATCTAATACGATACATAACGGCTTATGGTTAAAACCCTGCAAACAACCACAAATCCGCTTCCTCCATCTATCTCCAAAATCTTGTAAAAAGATGTAACTAAACTAATCGGTTTAAAATCACCAATCTACAAGGAACTATACTTCTTAGGAATCAAACAAATAAGGGAAGCATTGGTACCACAATAACCCTGCCACTTTGGCTATATAGACTTATTCCTCACGCGTTCAAACACTCTGACTTCCTCTTCTTATGTTGATCTATTTGCAAAAATTGGAAACCACTCTAATTCATTTATCCCTGGCCTATCAATCCCAACAGAAGAATACAAAGGTGAATAAAAGGGAAAAAAAATCTCATTAACTGATTGATCTTCTCTATCCACAACCCTTCCAAACCCTATCTTCAATCTTTTTATGAACTTTTTATTTTTCTCATTTACAACCCAATGAAACAACTTGGGGGTTATTGTCACCCTCCTTTAACCATTTTATTTTCGTCTTTTGGCCCCATAATATTTGTTAGGTAGGAACTACTTCAAATTTTGAATGTAAATCCACTCTCTTCTTAATAAGAGACACACTTAGACCACTCTCTCCTTTATAAGTTCCTTGTCACATTTTATTCCATTTGGTGGTTGTTTCAGACTTAAAGAGGATATTATTTTTTTTTTGGAAATTGAAGAGGTTGCAGGAAAATAGAATCAAATGCATGTATATATGTTTTTTCCGATGAGTCATAAATTTATTAAAAAGGGCGCCAAAGGTGTGTAAATTCTTACACTGGATGTATGGAAAAACTATGCTTTATGTGTCTTCAAATTTCCACAGAATCTACTAAATCCAAAAGCTAGCTAAGGTGTTAACCCTTTCCGTCATCCAAGTATGGAACAAATTTTGAGGATGGTTAGATAATGCATGGCGGTGAAATGATTGAATCACATTTGGGTTCATCCTGGCAATCATATTGATCAATTGTCCATGGGCTCTTCCAAATGCTAATGCACCTATAAGCTGTTGCTGGTAATTGTAGATTTATCAGATGATAAAATGTAAAAGCATTGTCAACCATCCCTAGTTTGCCAAATATTGTTGGATGGATGGTAATGGTCTGAGAAGATGCAAAAAATAAATTAAGTCATGCTTTACTATTGTCATCCTCATATTGGATTGATTTTGAGTGAAAAAAATCTTCAACATTGCAACACGAAATGGCATTAATAATCTATATTTGTGTGCACTCTGCTTGCATGATTTTGATTGGTTTTGTTCTGAAGGTGGTAATAGTTTATGTCTCATCTTGTACATTGAGACATAGGAGAGTATGAAAACAAAGATCTCTTGCTATTCCACTTCACATTTCATGCATTTATTTTCTGTTTTTCATTATTTTTAATTAATTAATTTATTTATTTTTGATACAAGTTCTTTGACTGTAAACCATTGTAATTCCAGAGTAATTCAGGAACGAAAGCCAAGGAGGATCTTGCTGCAGCTACGTGTGCTGTGGAGGTTTGTTTATCAGAATTAATTTGGCATTTCATTTTTTGTGAAACATTACCTTTTTTGCAACGCCAAAACTTTATCTTGAAAAGTCTATCATTGTAGTTTTAGCTTCTATATGCTACTGATGGCATCTCTTACATGTGTATGGGTTCTATTAATTAATTTATTTTCTTGTTAAGCAGGAACTCATGTATAAGATCCGTGAAATAAAAAGCAAAGCTGAGCAAAGTGAAACAATGGTTCAGAAAATATGCCGTGACATTAAGAAGTTAGATTTTGCGAAAAAACATATAACAACAACAATCACTGCTCTCCATCGTCTTACCATGCTAGGTTGGTTTTTTTTCCTGTATTCTCTCTCTCTCTCTCTCTCTCTCTCTCTCTCTCTGTATCCGACGTTGAACCCTTGACTTTTATCAACTCCGTTTCAAGAACGATGAACACAAGGAGTTGAATAATTTTACATAGTTACATTTTCAGTTATAAGCAAAAAATAAAAAATAAAAAATTACATATATATACACAATGTCAGTTTCAGTGGTTTCCCGCACTTTCACTGTAATCAAGCTTGTCAGATTCAAAATTCGGAACTGGTTTAAAGGGAGGTGTTCTGTCGTTGGTATATAGGATCAAATAAAAAGACATAACTGATTCCATGCAATGTTGAATTTTACATTAATTTTATTTCATGTTTCCCACCCCCTTGAGATTCTTTGGATTGACAACTTGTCATATGCGGCAAAGTGTTTGCTTAATTGATGGACAGGTTATCGTGTTGTAGGTGATCAATATTGTCATTTTCTTCGTTCTTTATTTTTAACTATAAGACAAGTTCATGTCTTAATCATTATTTATAATAATGCGTGGCGAGCATTAGTTTATCTGAGAAGTTTTGTTTCAACAGCTGGAAACTAACAAATTAGTGGTTCCATGACAAAACAAGATTATCTTGGCTTAAGTATTAAATTACGTTTGTCATACTTTTGTGTTGTACGCCACAAACTTGATAGTTGTGTTAATTGCCCCTTCCCCTCTCTCTCCCATTGTTTGATGTAGGCTAGCTTCTGGAATTGCTATTGTTAGGATAGGTTTAGTTAGGTTGGCTATTTCTGTTGAACAAAACTTTTGGAATTTGTAATCTGGGGATTTGGACTTCGTATCTTCGTAATTGAAAGAGTATGGTGGAGTTCAAAATGTGATCAACCTTCTAGGATGTTGATGCAAGTTCGTGGTTTTGTTACCCTCAGGTATATGTTTATATGAGCCCTTGCACAACACTCCACACTTATATTTAGGCACCACCCATCATATGACTTTGAAATTTGGGTTTTCAAGGGAAAAAAATTTGAGTTTTTAAAAGTTTTTGGTTCCTACCTAACCAGGGCTCGTCAAGCACTTGAGTTCTGACACTCTTGGAAGGTTCACTCGATAGGTTCTTGAGCTTTGAAACTCTTGCTAGGTTCGCTCAACAGGTGCTTGGCAAGAGCTTTGGTTTTCCTACGAGGCCTGCCCTATAGGCACTTGAGCGCACAAATTACTGCAAGTTGCGCTTGAGTAACGCTCGACAGGGGGCTTGAGCTCTAGAAGTCTTGAGAGTTGCACAACCAACGCTCGAGTGTTGGGGATGCGTGAATTTTTCCTTTTTGTATTCCTTTTTTGCCCCTGATGTACAAAGAGCCATCTTTGCATCAACTGAAATTTTAACTAATTGATGTTAACATTGACCTAATAAAACCCACATATAGTACCTAGAAACATAACTTAGCAATATTAAAACACATGGATGAAAACTACGACCCATATCTGCCAATTCAAAAATTAATGAAATAGCCTTAACTATTAAAAACCTAATAAAATATAAAGACAATTGTCTAGCAGGATGTTGCTCATGAAAATCACAAATTTAAGACTTAAAATGGTTGAACTGAAACATGATTACGCAATTACCCAAGTTGTGCTCTAGGTGAAATGCCATTCCTTTATTGTTTTTCTATGCTCTGCATCTAGAATTCATTTCTATACGAAAAAAGAAATGTGTAGGGTATAGATTGGAAAATTGGCATTGCTATATGTCAATATATTTTTTGGTTGGCAACGAAGAATTTTTATTAACATATTTTGATTATATATTGTGTTTTTTCATCTGATAATCTATGATATTGCTATACACCTAAATTATGTGCTCAATATGTGGCTGGATAGTGATCCAAGCACTGACTAGATAACCATACTTGGTCCTTTGAAAATGCATGACTCAGTCTCAGGCTACATAAAATGCATCCTGCATCATTTTTTTCTATGTTAATAAAGATCCTTCAAATTGTGGATGTAGTTGTAAAAATATATGTATTATTGATTGATATATTGTTGTGTATACAATGACTCTCCTATATATAGAAGAGAAAAACATATTCACCTACCCCGCGAGTGGGGAGGGGCCATCGGAGAGATGCGGGATCGACCTGAGGGGAGAGGAAGAGGATGAAGAGCTGGAGGATGTAGATGCCGTGGCCATAGGTGATTATGTAGTAGCCTTGAAGGAGGAAGACGCGGATAGAGTAGATCAACGCCACCAAGACGAAGCCGATCCAACGGTGGTAGACGAGAGGCGTCGACTTGTCCAGGAGGTGTTGGTACCACCGTGACACGGCGTAGCTCCACTGCGACACCGACGACGACGACGGATCATCGCCGGAACCGCCACCGAGATTCATATTTTATTTATTTATTTTGTCTCTCTTCCTGATTCTTGTTGGAACGGAGTGGGAGATATTAGAGCCGGTCTGGGCAGTGTAGAAGGAGACGGTGCGCCACCAGTCGGAGACGGAGGGGTTTTATAGAGTGATCAAGGTATGTGTAGAGGTCCGGCGGACTAGGTTGAGGTCCGGCGGGCGGCCAAGGCGAGGTTGCCGCCGGCCGGTGACGCGAAAAAAATACTAAACTCTTAACCTCGCTCTGATACCATGTAAAAATATATGTATTATTGATTGATATATTGTTGTGTATACAATGACTCTCCTATATATAGAAGAGAAAAACATATTCACCTACCACACTCAACTCTCACCTAACACACTTACATCTACCTGCCACACTCAACTCTCACCTAACACACTCAACTTTACCTACCACACACTTACAGTAGTATTTCACAATTGTATCATTAGAGGCAGCAAAGGAAGTTTTGCCTTGACTGGAAAGATTGATATTGAGAAAAAGAAATTGGAAGGGGATACCTGTGACTTGTAAAATTTTTATTGTTATTATTTTTAAAACGGTTGATTAGCAGTTTGAACGAATTGGCTCAATTGGTTCAAATTGGGGCCCAGTTGGCCAGAACCCTTGCACCTCATTAGAAGGTCAAGGGTTCAAGTCTTGTGACATGCAAGACTTCTCCTCCCCTAGGTTACAACCTCCATTTTGGGATTGGAAATTTGTGCATGCCTGAACTGTTATTGAAATATATTATGACATTGTAATGATCTACAATCAGCTTGGTTCCTTGAACATATCTGAAATGACCAGTTCACATATCTCTGTTTGTAAAGTTTTACTGCATCCTTGATTTGTATTATGGCAGTTTCTGCTGTGGAACAACTTCAACTGATGGCTTCAAAACGGCAATATAAGGAGGCAGCTGCACAACTAGAGGTACCATCTCGAGTGTATTGTTCATATTTTCGCCACAATAGGTTAAGGATTTTCTACTGAACTGTCGCTTACATTTTTTTGTTTATAGTTTGTGTGCTATGAATTTTGCGTTACTTTTTAATGCTACATAGTTTGTGTGTTTTTTTGTCAATTTGGTCCCTATAGATTGTGTGATGCGTTTGCCCTTTAATTTTTCTACTTTTCAATTTGGTCCAATTGATATCAGACATAACAATTTTCACTGGAAAATGGCCATGTGCATCCAAAGTTATTTTATGTATGTTTAAACGATGGACACTTGTGTTCCCCAAGTGTTACCATCGTGTCTAGTTGTACAAAAGCTTAAAAATAATAGGACACGTTTGGATGAGTGTTGAACATGTGTCAAGAGAGTCCAACAGAGTCCAACGAGTGTCAGTGTCCAACACATGTTTGACATGGACACAATGACACCTTCTTAGTAATGTCTAGTCAAGTCATTGAACCCAATTTTTATTTATTTCTTTATTATTATTTTTTATAATTATTTAGCTACTTTTGGTCATTAACCTAAGAAATGTACACACTTTATAAGAGAGTGCCATGTTCATGTAGGATATTGACACTTGTCAAACACATCCTGACAGGAGTTTGACATGTGTCCAAACGTGTCCTGTTACTTTTTAATGTTTCCATAACCAGACTCTTAAGGGACACACTTGTTTATCCTTTACACATGAAAACATATGGATCTTGGCACAAGTTTGAAAGAAATGACTTGGGCATCAATGATTAAGCTCAAAACAATGCTCATTTCCTTTGGGCTTTTTAGTTATAGAAATCGTAAAATCTAAAACTTTTAATTTGTCTGGGAATAATTTTTTAAAAAAAAATTGATTTTATGACAATTCCCATTCATAGTTCTTTTCCAATATATAAGATGTGAAAAATGGTTTCTTAATATTTTGATATTATGAAACATAAATATATTTTTTTGTAAGGAAATTGCTTTTAAGAAAAACACTTTAGTGGAGGTGAAACTTGTACAAAAAGCTAAATCCTATATAAACTTTACATGACTTGTACAAGTAGAAACTGATCTGAAAAAAGGGCAATCCTGGTGAAGATATGAGAAAAACCCATGCCTAAGGGAAGGGAAATCAATCGGCTAGGTTAGCTGGAAAAATCTCAACTTCAAATTGACATGGAGAGGGATGAAAAAAGGGAATGAATCCTGGTGAGGATACGGGAAAGAGAGAAGGTAAGAACGAAAAAGAGAGAATAAAACAAATTCATGATTTATTTGTGGTGTGGCATATTCTACATGATGCTTAGACCTGATTGACAATTGAAAATTTTCCACATTTGCACTGAGCACATTGGATTTAAAATGAGTGGTTAATTTCCATTACCTAACTATTTTTTAGTTCACCTATCATTTAGGTGTATCTTGCGTTATATTCTGTCATTCATCATTTGAAGGTACATCCTGTTCACTTATTAAGAATGATAATGAATTTCAGGCTGTAAACCAGTTATGTAGTCATTTTGAAGCCTATAAAGATATTCCCAAGGTCACTGAGCTCAGGGAGAAATTTAAGAACATAAAACAAATTCTGAAGTCTCATGTTTTCTCTGATTTTTCAAGGTATGTTAAACCTGTTTGGCACAATACCTGAGAACATTTTTATATTCTTGGAGTTACAAAACGGAAAGAAGGTTGAATATCTGTTTGGTTCCTTGTTTTAGGAAATTATTTTCATTAAATCAGTTGATGAGGGAATGTTTTCTTATTTCTATTAACATTAAAATGATGCTTTTTGTTCTTTGTTCTCTGTTTTCCAATCAAAATAGTAAAATGATCTAAAACTTGTTCTAAATTTTTTTCAATGCTTTTAGGAAACTTGTTTTATAAACCCATTTCTGAAGTTTGAATAAAAAATGCCTGCTTAACTGTGAAGTTCTATACACTCTGTTTTTCTAAAGCAGTTAATTAGGTACTCTATGATATTGCTAATGATATGTTATTTAATTTTAATCTTGAATTTATGTTTTGAATTATCACATTGATTCTGTTTTATGCACATCTACGTGATGTGACTTCATCTGAAGAATTAACTTGCTACAATTAACTTGTTTTATGATTCCTGTTATGATGTTTAGCTCTGTGAAGGATGTCACTATAAGAAGGGTGCAAAAGTCTTGGAACAAAATTGGTGGCAAGAGGATTTTAGGATTCAGAGTTATGCAATTAAAAAAAAAGTCTCTTTGGTTTTGGCCTGTAAAGGAAGGAATAAAGCTTAGGCCTCGTTTGGGAACGGGCTAATTTAGTAACTTTTTGGCTAGTTGGCTAAAATATGAGCTAAAAAAAACTAGTATGTTTGGGATGACTTTTTGGCTTTTTACGAAAAGATGTGCAAAAAGTAGAGAGAAAAGAGAATCTTTGACTTTTTTGTATGGGTTGTTGGCTTTTTGGCTAATTTTTTAGGGTTCCCAAACGAGGCCTTAGTGTTATGAAAACATTTTTTCTTTTATTTTCTGTAATTTCTAAACCCTGGTTTCTTCACTGATTTTGAAAGGAAACTTATCCTTGCTTATGTTTTCTGATCCTTCTCTTAATTGAATTTCATGGATATGAAATGGAGGAATATCTGCCTAATTGACTTATTGTTTATTGAATACGCCTCCTTAGTTCTATCCTTTTCTATTTATCTATCTATACCAGCTTAGGTACGGGGATAGGATTTTAGGATTCAGAGTCTGAAGAAAGTAATCTACTGCAGCAGTTAGCAGATGCTTGCTTAGTTGTTGATGCCTTGGAGCCATCTGTAAGGGAAGAGTTGGTTCAAAATTTTTGCAGCAGGGAGCTTACTTCATATCAACAGATCTTTGAAGGAGTTGGTTTGTCCAATTCTATACTTTGTTTTCATTTAGTTCATTTACCACTCGCATATATATATATATATTTCTTTTGATGACCATCATCTTGAAAGTTTTTATGTTAACTATTTCATTAGAACTAGCAAAGTTGGATAAAACTGAAAGGAGATATGGTTGGATTAAGCGTCGGTTAAGAACAAATGAAGAAATCTGGAAAATATTTCCTCCTTCATGGCATGTTCCTTATTTGCTGTGTATCCAGTTCTGCAAGTTGACAAGGTCTGCCATCTACTACTCTTTTGTTTGTTTGAATATTCATCTTTGTGTTATGGAAGAACTCATAATGTGATCATGATACAGTAATCAATTTTAAAACAGAGGTACTATCCAAATGTACATGAGGTTTTTGATGCTGCAAATCCACAAAAACCTTTAGTATATTAAATAATATGTTACTGCTGTTGCTATTGCTGGCAAAAGAGCACATAAGGCTGTTCTGTTTCCTTTTTTGTTAGAACCTGATCTACGCAATCCTTCAGTTCTATTTACATTTTCTGGAAAGGAACGGTGTTGGCATCCTTGTTATTTTGGATTAAGGTCTTCCCTTTTCTTTGCATTCTTTTGTAGATTTTTTGGGGGATTTGTACATTTTTGTAAATACATAGCGGGTGGTTTGATTTTTGTCATTTTGTTATTTTTTTGTTACACTTGTAGGGTCGTGTGAGACCCTAAGATGGTGTTTTGCAAGTTGTACATGGGAGGCATCCCCTTGATGCTTTTAATGCATTTACTAATAAAAAAAGAAAAAATATGAAATCTAATAATAGTTCAGAGTAAATGTTACAAAGATTTCCACAGCATAATTTACATGGTAGGATGTTAATATATTCATGTCCACAAATAAATCATGAATTTGTTTGGGAGTTAGAGTCGGATTTCACGACACAAATAAGCAATATATTTTCTCTAGAATAACATTGCAAGTAGTGACTTTTCTTTGTTTCTTTTTTCCAGGACACAAATTGTCGAGATTCTTAATAATTTAAAAGAAAAGCCTGATGTTGGGACATTGTTGTTGGTAAGATATACTTTCGTCACATTTTTTTCCCAATTGCTAGGCACACTAGTCAGTTTTTCTTATTCTCATTAAACTAAGGTTATAATTTGTTCTAGTCGTATCATCAATGGAGCCTTAACTTAGAAGTATTGGTTTGCCTTCTAAATCTAGTGTTTGATTGACAGCATTAGTATATTTGATCCCACTTTGAAATTTTTTGCAAAAGGAAATAAGCATTGCATGTTTGTTTCTTGACATAAAATACTAAAGGCATATTTCATGCTGAAACTCTTTCCTTGATGTTCCCTTGGCCCCTTCATCTACCTATCCTTATTCTTGGGCATTTGAAAAGCTGAACCAGGTGATGGGGTGTTGATGTAGCAGCATAAGAACAAGAAGAAGAAATAAATTGGGGATCACAATCCCAGAACAACTCTCAACCAAACCAGAGACCTTCGTCTTCTCACGCATGGGTTCCCTCACCCCTGTCCTCACTCAGCCTCATTCATCACTGACTAACCATCTCCCTTTCTCGCTCTTAGAAACCCTAAAGCACCTCACCATAATCTGTAAACTGCAAAACCATAAAGATCTTCTGAACTATCTTCGTCCCACACATCTCAAAATCTTTCACTCTCTCATGCACAAAGATCTCTAAATTGCATCCATGGTGACTGGGCTCAAGCAAAGAACGAGGTTGTTGCAAGGAGCAGTGGCCATCACTGCAAGATGGTAGAGGGCGCAGTGGCAGCCGTTGTGAGATGGAGTTCACAGTGATATAACTATGGAAGCTTTCACAAATAAATCTCTCTTCTATTTGTACTCTTCTCTATCCCAGATGTACGTATGTGTGTATATATATACTTATATGATAGGTTTTTAGGTAAAAGGGGAAAAGGATAACCAACCATTCGAAACTGTCTGCAACCCGCTGGTTGACCAAATGAGAGAGACAGTCGGCTTCGAACAGGATGTCAGTTGATGACGATTAGTGAAATCTCCAACCCGAAAGAGTCAGTTCGAGTCCAGGTTTCTCTTGTAAACTTGAATCGTTTGACCCGTGGACAACCCTAATTCATTCAGTCTAACTCTCCAAACCTATCACACAGCCATATATGTGTCCTAAGAAACCCGAATTACAGTTACCAAAAATAAAACAAATCCCAAAAGAGAAAATATTATTAAAATTAATTATTAAACCCTATTGCTTCATCCAATTCCTCTTTGTACCCCATCATTTCACCCCAAGTGAAAAAATTTCTCCTCTGGAGAATATTGATAATAAAGGTGCTCCAAAAGTTGTAGATCATGCTGGCAAAGCGCTTTCTCAACCCAGATGACCTGGATGACTGGATGAAATGACCACATTTTCCTCTAAGATTGACTCACTTTGGCTCAAAGGGGAAAGATTCTAGTTATCTAGATTAACTCACTTTTTGGTATATTTTTTTGGAGGATTTGTACATTTCATAATATGTAGGTGCTTTTGGTTAGCCTTTTGTATACTTAGTGCATGTTTGATTGGAAGGATTAGAGCATGGGATTAGGATTATTAATCCGTGGGCCCAATTATCCCATGTTTGTTTTGACATTTTATTTTAGGATTATTAATCCAATGGATAATTAATCCAACAAATTTGTAGGATTATTAGTAATGGGGTAGGGGTGGGATTATGAATACCACATTAATTTGATAGGATTATTAATACCTCACTATTAGTCTTGTGAAATCAAACATGGCCTTAGTGTATAAACGGCTGCACCTTCTGGCATTTGTTTATAATCGATTACATTTACTTATAATAAATATATATATTTATATGTGGAGAGTTTATCATTAGTAAAATGCTTGCATTCTATTTCTTGATTATTTTCATTTCTGTGAGGAACTCTCTCCTGATGTTTTCTATTTTTCGTAAATATGTGTAGGCACTGCAACGAACTCTAGAATTTGAGGAAGAGTTAGCAGAGAAATTTGGCGATAGCACTCATAGCAGAGAAACAGGAAATGACAATGAAGAAACAGGTAGAGGGGGCAACAACAGTCAAACTGTATCAGATATTCGGAAGAAGTATGAGAAAAAGCTTGCTGCACATCAAGGAAGTGAGACTGAAGTATGTATTAATTGATTACTTGATTTAGTTAAAAATGTTGACAAAAAAAATTAGTTGCCAATTTTATTTTCTATTCGGCTGCTTATCCTGTCTTTTTATTTTTTTGTTATTAGGAGAAAGATAGACAAAAAGATTTGGTGCCAGGAGCTGGGGTATGTGCATATCTTCATGGGGATTCTTCTTATAAAATATTTGTTGGTGGTATTAACAATTCTTTGCTGGTAGATCATATGTAAATCTCGAAGTACGCCCCATTAAGCATAAATGCTTGAATATTGAATATTCACCATCTTCATTTGTCTCGTCTGTATGATCTGCTGCATCTCTTTTGAGTGGTGATACTAAAAAGATTTACTTACAGAAACATGGTGGTGTTTCTCATCCCAAATCTACATCACTTAAGGCTACTTTGGTCGCTTATACCACTTTAGCTAAAAACATCATTAATCTTCATTATTTCTGCTTTTTAATGAACTGATGATACCACTCCAATATGTATGGAATTTTTTTTCTTCAAGTTGTAGTTAATAGTTAACATTTTTCTTCATGTCTAGGGACATCAATAATGATGTGAGGTATGTCTGGTGAGCCTAACCTTAGACATGTTTGCTACAGTTTTCATTGTTATGTTTTTCACTTGTGAGTTAGTGTTGAGTCTTTGTTAGTGTTGAGTCTTTTTACATAGAATTTTAGTTTTGGTCTGCTTTAAGACTTTCAGCTAATAATCTCGCCGCTGAGACTTATCTGTCTGCATTATTGATGTGGCAGTTCAATTTTCATGGAATTATTTCATCTTGCTTTGAACCTCACTTGACGGTATATGTAGAACTGGAAGAGAGGACTCTTATGGAGAATCTGGAGAAACTTGTTCAGGTTTGACTGTATTATGCTTCATGAAAGCATTTTATTGTTTCCATGTGCTTATATTTCATGATGTAATAATATATATTTATTTCTATAACAGGAGGAAACATGGGATATTGATGAGGGAAATCAGACAAATATTTTGTCCAGTAGCATGCAGGTAAACCACCAGAGATTTTCTTAGGAAGTTTTTAGAGGACTGGGTCCTAGGAAGATGATTATAGTTGTTCAATCCAGCACTATGTGTATGTATGCATATCTTTTGGGTTTCTTTAGAGTTGGTTGTGGTTTGTATTTAATTGTGGACCCAACATCACAAATTTATGGCAGTTTCAGACAATGGTGGTAATATACCCCCTTTTCCAAAAATAAATTTGTGATAGTTTCATTGATGGTGGACAGTTAGTGTAGCATGCTTACAGGAACAAAACAATACTGGGTATGTAATTTACTATACCTAAAAACATAGACATAGAAATGGTGTAGGGATAATAGTAGCTAAACCACTTACAAGTTAATGTAGTAATAGTCACGAGGAAAGGAGCCAAGATAATACTAATTAAACTTTCTAAATTCATTTGGTCACCCACTCTGCATTCGGATTGCTTGTTTTTTAATTTCATATTTCTATTGCACTATCTTGATTCTTTGTTGTTTTGTAAAGGTCTTTCTGATTATCCGGAGAAGCTTGAAGCGATGCAGTGCATTGACAAAGAGCCAGACATTATTGAATTTATTCAAGGTAAAAACGTCATTTAAGTTATCGTTGTTGGTATGATTACTAGTTTGCATTGATTTTGATTAACATAAATGTGGAATAATTGATTGGCATTGTTGTTCTACACTTGGTAGTTTTTATCCGTGCTCGAGCAAATGTAAGTCCGACTTTCTAAGCCTAATAGTAGGAAATGCTGTCATTCCCAAGTATTGGCACATTATTTGCTATAATGTTTCATGGATTGTTTTAAAAGAGAGTAAAAGATTATCTAAATTTTATTCTTAACTTTTACCTTTCCTACAAACCAATTTCCTTAGATTGCTAGTTGACTTGTCCAGCTTATTGTCAGAATTAATAGTTTATTCTTCTATAGGAAAGTAATGTGTCTTTTTGGTGTGAAGAGCTTCAGCTGATAATTAAATATGTTCTAGAAGTTGGTCATGTTAGGTCAATTGGTTGTTAAAGCAAGACGTGTGTTATTTTAGACCTAGAAAATTGGGGTTTGTCATAACAAGTCCTCGGTTTGTAACCGTGAAGTTTATTTTCATATGTTTTTGATGCGCATGAGAAAAATAGTATGATCTCTTTATTTCTTTTTTCATATTCGCTGTTGTGAAGTTGAACATTAGCAATCATTTAATCTGGTTTGCCGGATGTGTTGCCCATCATTTCATTGGCATCATATTATAGCCCGTAGTAGATCCTTTTGATTGTCTAATAATGTGGTTTTCTTGGAAATCTGTTTAGAAGTATTGAAAAGGCCTAAAGACTTGTAATGTCTTCTGAATTTTTATTTTAATATCTTTTTATGCAATAAGAAATATGATTAAAGAGAATAATGAAGGCTGGAATGGGAACATTTAGTATGTTTTCTGTCACACCCCAAACCTGGGGACAATGACTGACTGTGGATGACGAAGCGTTAGCCTATGGAACACGAAGGTCAATAATCATAAAACAATGCATAGTGTCTCAGCATGTGAAAATAACATCTCAACTATATGCAATGGATGAATTCTAAGAGGTCACATAACATAGGTCCCTACAGATGACATAAAGCCCCATCTAATGCTTTCGCTGCTTACCTAAAATTAATAAAGAATGAAATGAGCTCACAAGCCAGTGAATGGAAAACATGTATAATACGCTGTAGTTCTAAAACAAGGTGTAATTGTAAAATAGCTATTATTCAGAAAATATAAACGATATACAGTTTGGTTTACAAAACTAGTGGTAACAAATAAATTCTCAGTTAAAATTTGGTATCATGGCTAAAAAAAAAGTAATCTCAATCTTCAACTTGTTTCCAAAATAGGGAAATCAATATTCATCTCAAGGTAAGAAAACAATAAAGAACAAGTGATATCATCATGATTGTTCATGATAACAATGTACTGTATCGATAAGATAACCATTTTATAATGTTTGGGGGCATTCTTGGGCAATTGGATCCAACATTGAACTTAGAAACTTGGATTCATATTCAGATGGCATCCAAGCCTTTTCTTTTAAGATGATTCAATTGAAGGTCACCCTGCCAACCCTCGGTGTATTCTTTACAACTGTTGAGAACTATATACATATGAGACACGCACCAACACGTACATCTACACCTACACCTCTCTGCACCACTAGATCATCACCACGCAGCAAGGAATCCATGACAACTCACATGACTCACCACCACCTGCACACACCGACATTACACCCACACTACACCCATGCACAACACAGCCACCCAGTGACCACACTACACAAACTATTGCTGCCCATAACAACCTCACTCCCACCGACTATTGCACAATCATCCCTCTTCACAGCTAGAACAGCCACCCCATGGGTGGTAGCTCTAGGGACATTACGCATCCTTCGCATGCACCCTCATGCCCCTTCATCATGCACACACATCTACTCATAACACAACCATTGCACCAGAGCCAGCCATGCACAACTCTAATTAACCCACTCTCTCTCTTCTTTCTCCTCTCACGACAATCCTTACCCAATTCTCACGCCATGCCATCCAACCAGCACATCCCTCATCCTCTCTGAGAATCTATGGCGACACCCACGTCACACAACTTGCCCTATGACACACCTGAACCCTCCTTTTTCTTTGTTCACCCGCTAATACATGATACAATCATACACATAAAACTCTCAATATGTATATACAGCCTTGTATATATATATATATATAAATCAAAACAAGGGAGTGTGTACTATCCTATCTGTGATTGGCTGCCTCCTCTCAGTCTGCTCTATTAACTCTCTACAGCTTTCCCCCTCTATACATGTATATTTATCTATATGAAGAACCCTAACTGCCACCACCACCACCACCACCACCATTTACCTCTAACTCATGTCTCTTTCTCCCTTTTATGCCTTTATCTCAATTTTTTAGACACTAGACCTCTATAAGAAGCACAACCATAGACAAGCGCAGGTGTCACAAAATTTCAAAAGGTACATCATAATCTTTATTATACCAAGGATTGTTTTGAGATTTTATGACATTGTAATAATTCAATTTGAAATCCAGGAATTTGAAGATACTTTATCACATAAAGACTTCACCTAAATCACCAGAATTCAAGAAATTTGAAATATTGGCATAAATTTGGTAGCCAAAATCTTATACTTGAGGACTTGCCTCATTCTCAAGTTGTAGAATAATATAATCAAATTGTTTTGGGAATAAATGCTTCCATCCCATTAGAAATATTTCTTTATTATTATTATTATTATTATTATTAATTTTTGAATGTGGCTTTGAAATGACCTTAATGCTGATAGAGTTTGGACACCCACAATATTTCATGCACCAACATATGCAATATATAGGTTGTCTGTACAGATTATGATTTTGTGCTCATTCACCCTTTTAGGTATTTCAAAGAATTCTTAAAGCGTATGCTACAAAGCTTTTCGCAAGATTGCCTAAAGGAGGCACTGGAATTGTTGCAGCTGCCACTGGCATGGATGGACAAATAAAGGTATCAATGGACTTGTTTAGTTTTGTAATGACTGATGTGAGCAATTGCTTATTATTTTAGAAAATACTAATTTTACTGTTGCTATCAATCTGACTATTTCATGCAGACATCTGATAGGGATGAAAGAGTGATCTGTTATATCATTAATACAGCAGAATATTGCCATAAAACGGTCAGTTAGATATCAGAATTGTATTAACTTTTCTCAGTTTTTAATTCATGACATTTGAGGTTGTATGAGCTAATTGTGTTGTCTCACAACTAATAGTGCTTTTCACATTTAAGTAGAGTGGATAAGAGATCCTAAATTGGCATCTTTTGAAACAATATGAGGGCCAAGAAAAATCATTTTTGAATGGTTTAAAAGGGACAGTTTTCGGTATGTGTGTGTGAGAGAGGGAGCTGTTGTCTCCATTATGTGAAATTGATGTCATATTGAGATGGGTTTGGAGTGTGCTTCAATCTGGACCTTTGATTGCTATTATGTTCAGTCCAGTTGTAATCCCAATTTGAGAGAACCTGTACCCGTATTTTATAATATGAACATGTGTTTTGTTGGAATGTGTCCCATATCGCCTAGAGTTGCCCCATCTATGCTAATTATAAGGTTTCAATTTCCCTCTCCTTAGTACCTGGTTTTAAGGAGAAGTGTGGGTTGGGCTTTTCAATTTGGTATCAGAGCTTGGTTAGGCCTGTGATTGATGTACCGTTTGTCCGGCTCCTATATGTTGTGATCTAGGAGGGTGTGTTGGAATGTGTCTCACATCGCCTGGAATTGTGTGCTGATTATAAAGTTCTAGTTTCCCTCTCCTTAATACGTAGGTTTTAAGGAGAAGTGTGGGCTGGGCTTTTCAAACCTGTTAGGGTCTTGGAATTATACTTTGTAACGATATTGTATATCATTAGCTCTAAATCAGGTTATGGCAAGTGAAACAACTGTGGATCAATGGCGCTTTTGTAATTCTACTTTTTGTTTTTATTTCTTTTGAATTTTGACAGTCTGGTGAATTGGCTGAAAACGTGTCCAGTATAATCAATCCTCAATTAGCGGATGGAGTGGATATGTCTGAAGTGCAGGTGAATAACTATTCCATTGCAAAATTTCTTCATAGTAATATTGCCGTTTGTTTAATCGGAACCATGTGTCTGTGCAGGATGAATTTTCAGCTGTAATCACAAAAGCATTGGTAACATTAGTGCATGGTCTGGAGACGAAATTCGACGCTGAAATGGTTGTAATGACACGGATTCCATGGGGTACCCTTGAAAGTGTTGGCGATCAATCAGAGTAAGATGCAATATTTAAATGTTTTGAACCTTAAGTATTAGTGCCTGGGGCATCTTACCACAAAATTCTGTGCATTTTTTTACAGGTATATCAACAGCATAAATATGATCCTTACTAGTAGTATTCCTGTCCTTGGAAGTCTTCTTTCTCCTATCTACTTCCAGTTCTTCTTAGATAAGGTGATCGTAAAATTACATTATGGCTTTCAATATAGATATTTGCCTTGTAAGGTTGACGAATAGTGCTTTAAGGTTTTCAAATGTTTGGGAATATGCATGTGTACTTGTTTATTTCATTTTCTTTTATGTTCCATTTTGGCAACATAACTTTCTTTATTGTATCATCCTTCACTGTTTCATTAATTAATTTCATTTTCATCTGCTAACAAAATCACATCCAAAGTTCTGTGTTATAGTTCCTTAGCAATCATACATAGTTTCGTAGTAAATCATTTTTTGAAGTTATTCACTAGGTCAATTTGCTCATATCTTATTTTTTTATGCAGCTTGCATCATCTCTTGGTCCACGCTTCTATGCCAATATTTTCAAGTGCAAGCACATATCAGAAACAGGAGCCCAACAAGTAATGATTGTCTTCAAGTTTCTTTTGTTCCAATATATTGTGTTTGTCATCCACTAATAATCACTAGTGTATGTACTGTACTCTGAAAGGCATATGGGTTAAGGCATGAATGCTTGGATCAATAGAAAGCCAGAGGGATATGTCCCAAGGCACACCCTTGAAATTCCATGGGGTTTCTGCCAACCATGCTTCAGCCTGTAAGGCACTAATGGAAATGGCAGGACTGATTTCTAAAATATGTGGCTCATGCAGTGACAAAAAATAGTTATTTAATATTTATTGATTGTTACACTAATATTTTATTCATTTAAATTTGTTTGTTAAGAATAAAGAGAGACACTATTGTTTTTTATGAGTTGCTTAATTGAAACAAAAAATAGTTATTTAATATTTATTGATTGTTACACTAGTATTTTATTCATTTGAATTTGTTTGTTAAGAATAGAGAGAGACTGCATTGTTTTTTATGTGTTGCTTTAAATGAATATTTGGAGGAATTTCATGCAACTTGCCTATGGTTTAGAAGAAGACAATTTCTTTACACCTGTGTATCTGAATTCTGAAAAATACTTTGTCAACTAGTGAATGAATCTGAATTTCTTTTATACTTTTAATATGGCATTCTTTTGAAATTTAGCTAAATACATTATGAAAACTTCATTTTTCAATCAGGTGGAATTTTCTATTAAAATATTGTGATGTAGAAATGAATTATACTCAAAATTGTAATATAGATGTATTATGCCTAAAAGTTTAAGATTATTTGTTTCTACCTCACACCTTCCACATAGCAGTTAAAGGATTGTTTTGGTCAAATGATCATTCATTATACATCTTAATGTAAATTATATGACTTTAGTTGTATAAGCCCTTCAAGGAAATAATTTTTGTTGATTATGTTACATTTTTTTTTTATGTAAATTCATTGCATGATATTATTGCAGATGTTGTTGGACACTCAAGCTATAAAGACAATTCTTCTAGATATTCCCTCCCTTGGAAGACAGGTGAGAGAACACATCTGTAAATGTATAATTAATGTTCATATAGCGTAGTTTTTCTTGGCCGTTCTCTGGATTTATCACTGTCAACATCATGAGTAGACACAGAATTCTACACATCTGGCATTGGCACCATGTACATTTTCCTCTACTATATTTGGTTCATAGTTGTCAAAATCCTGCAATTTGTGATTCAAGTCATACAGCAAGCCCTAACTGATTCAAATTTGTTGGGCGATTAAAAGGACTGAATTGGTGGGTGAACCAATGAATCTATAGGTGAATAAATTTGTTGGGCGATTAAAAGGACTGAATTGGTGGGTGAACCAATGAATCTATAGGTGAATACATGGATTCAACCGAGTTGGTCGATTCACCATTGACTCTGCTGAATGGTTCTTTATTTGAATTTAGTTTTGTTAGAATTTACCATCACCTACCACCAATTTACCATCACCTACCACCACCTACTCCTCACCTACTACACTCACCCTCTCCTATATAATGAGCCACTCACCATTTGTAATATATGTATCATCAATAAAAATCAATCAATAATACAATTCTCTATTTCTCTTTATACATTAAATTTCTACATGGTATCAGAGCAAGGTTAAGCACTTAGTATTTTTCGTTTCACCGGCGGGCGGCAACCTCACCTTGGCCGCCCGCTTGGCATTGGCACCATGTACATTTTCCTCTACTATATTTGGTTCATAGTTGTCAAAATCCTGCAATTTGTGATTCAAGTCATACAGCAAGCCCTAACTGATTCAAATTTGTTGGGCGATTAAAAGGACTGAATTGGTGGGTGAACCAATGAATCTATAGGTGAATAGATGGATTCAACCGAGCTGGTCGATTCACCATTGACTCTGCTGAATGGTTCTTTATTTGAATTTAGTTTCTTTTTGTTTGTTTGTATTTTTTTTTTTTTTAGTTGTAAAAGGTTTCAAAAAAATCCTTCCAAGGCTTTTAGGGTTGTTTTATACATTTTTTTTTCTCTTCTTTGGCAGTGAAAACATGCTTTCTCATGTGATTCCTTTGATTGTTTTGGTTTCTAAGGGGAACTGCTTGTCCACACTTTCTGGTTATGTATGCATATGTCTGCAGCAATGTTTACCACTTTTCTTATTTGCCTGAACAGACGTCAGGTGCTGCTAGCTACTCAAAATTTGTAAGCCGTGAGATGAGTAAAGCTGAAGCTCTCTTAAAGGTGAGTAATGAAATTAGTTTTGGATTTTTGCTTCTGGAAAGTTGCAGTTATCATACATGTCTAGTTGTCTTCGTTCTACAGGTTATTCTATCCCCTGTTGACTCTGTGGCTGATACATATCGGGCACTGCTACCTGAAGGAACAACTTTGGAGTTTCAGCGGATTCTGGAGCTTAAGGTCGTAGTCAAAATCACTACCTTGCTACTCTTTTTTTTTCTTTCTCTTTACCCCTTCTAACACCTATCAGAGGTCTTAATCATGTTCAAGGCTAACATGTCCCTACAACTTTCCTGAAATCACGGTCACAGCTTAGTGACGTGATTCAATGGAGTTGTTCTTATGAGTCTTGTCTTAGACTTGCATGTTGTGAGAGTAAGACTGACTTGATAACAATGTTAACCTCGAAATTCATAGGTAAAACTATCAAATCTAAATTTGAGTTATTCTACTTGTATAATTGATGTCAAATCTATACATTTCAAATCCATCACTCTCCAAATGGACCCATGTTTGAATTGAAGTCCTACAACTTGTGCTCTTGTGCCTGTATTGATTTGAAAACGAAATGATTTGGGCAGGGCATGAAGAAAGCAGACCAGCAAAGTATTCTGGATGATTTTAACAAACATGGGTCCGGGATTAATCAACCACCACATATGGTTGCCCAATCAGTTGTTGTCCCGTCTGTACCCACTGCTCCTATGGCTTCTACCATGTCAACTCCAGGCTCAGTTGGAGTTATTGCTTCGCGAGAAGATGTGCTAACGAGAGCAGCCGCCCTTGGGAGAGGTGCAGCTACAACCGGGTTCAAGAGGTTCCTTGCCCTAACTGAAGCTGCAAAAGACCGCAAGGATGGGCCTTTCAGGAAGCTCTTTAATACATGAGGAATGCTTCTGTATATTTTACCGATTTAATTCATATAGCAAGTAACAATTTTTGTGTCAAATAACGTGTAAATTGTCTGAACATTTTGCCGAGCTTTTTGAGTAATTCAAAGGAGGGGAGGAAAAATAAGGGAAAGATGATAAGCAAAGATTTTCCAACTTCACGTATACATTTGACATTGTATCTATCTATATGCATGCATATATGCAAGGAGACGGATATCTTATCTGTAAATTACAAATTCAACATAGGAATGACATCCCTCTGTCGCAAGTTAATTGCTCCATAATGTATGTTCGTTACATATAACTAGCTTGTATTAATTGAGGGGCTTGGTTGAGCCAAGGATAGAATTTCATGAACTCATTGAGGTTTCGGCATAACAAAGCTTGCACTCTCTTTTTGCTTTTAGTGCACAATGTGCCGTTGGTAATTATTCACCGTGCCATAAAATTGCAAGCTCACAAATTCACTGACTTCTTTTAAAAATTTGCTAGCTAGTCCTGAATGTTTTGAAAATCCGTTTAGTGTGCCCCAATCTGCCGGTCTTTACATTTTGTGATTATATATATATATTTGGTCTTTTGACATTGCAAATCTTTAGAAGTTTAAATCACAACGTTGTTATAGATCCTAATGCATACAATGAACTTTTTTATCATTTCCGAAACATTTTTACATTAATTTTAACATTAAACAATGCATAAGAAATACTTATTAACATTTACTTTAGTTCATTAATTGAATAGCTGCAATGCAACACGGCTTATAATTTTCACCATTTTAGGATTTCCACCAGTATATTATGAAAAAAGTAGTTAGAAGAAAATTATTATCACTTCCATCATATTAATAACAATAATTCTAGGAATACAGATGTGTTCCATAAGATGGAAGACATGTGAGACAAAACATCATGTTAAACACATCTGTGTTCCTAGCACTACTCTATTAATAATAGTCATTTACACATTTCAGCATAATGGATGAGTATGTGGGAAGTAGAAGAAAATTTTTTTGGTCAAATTAATCATTTCATTGTTTTTGTTAACAATATTTGAAAGTGTATAACAATTTGATGATGAAATAGCCTAATTATATGCTTTTATAGTTCATAAGTAAAATGATGCTTCATGACAATTCAAGAGGGTAAAATGATACACATATTTTAGTAGTTGAATGTGCTCCATTAACGTTAAGGGATTTTACAATATCAATAGTTTGAGAAATTAATTGTTACGTTCTTTTAATTCAAGGGGTCAAAATGCTACACAATTATAACTTAGGGAGTCTCATGTAAATACCCCTAATGGACTGTGTTCACGTCACCTGGCCCTAATGGACTGTGTTTAGATCATCTAGAGTGAATTTCTCTAGGGTAAGTGCTAGTGTGAAAACCACGTAGTTTTGATTAATGTACCCAAAAACAAAAAAAAAAACAAAAAAATGAGAAAGAAAAATAGAAAGACTCAAAGAGACTCATATTGATCGAGAGAGATAGGTTCACGATCGTGCTCGGCCATAATTTTTTTGAATTTTGGAGGCAACCCTACCCTAGATTTATTTGTTTTCTCAGACTTTTTGGATAATGTTATTGGTTATGTGTTTTTATAGTTTGTACATATTTGGCTCCATTTTATTTATCAAAAGAAAAATAAATAAATAACTAAAAGAAGGCATTACCCCACACACCACCCACACCTCAAAACCTTCTCGTCAAAAACCAATCACTCGAACATGAATTTGTGATTGATTCTCATGTTCTTTCGTGTTTCAACCTTTGGCATGGTGATTCTGACTGCTGCAGCAATTTCCTTGTTTTCCATAGTAGGGCAGAAAAAAGAAGAAGATAAGTTTGAGGTTGCAACGGCCATTTGGTTTGGTGTTGGGTTAACATCGTTGTGCACTTGTCATTTTGGGACTTCTATGGAATAATCAAATGCATTGATTGTTGGTTGGAGCTATGGGACTTCTCAAGGCCCGGCTGATGTTGTTTTCGACCACACTTAACCTTGGCTTAATGAACTTGGAGAAGATTCAGCGCCGGCTGACGATTACCATAGCAATCTTCATCATTCTCTCTTTTTCAATTCTGGCTCTTCATGAAACTTGAGCTTTTCTCTACGATATAGCCTCAACAAGCTTAGGTGGTGTGCTCATAGTAACCGGGAAGATATATGATAGGGAGTCCGTTTTTCATCGACTGATTTTTTCCATCACTTTGTTTTTCACATTGCTTGCATTCCACTTTTTGGTTCCTCTCAAGCAAGTTGGGCGGGAGTAGGAGGAGGTACCGTTATGGCAAGTACCAGTGGATTGGCTCGTGATTCCAATATAGCAAGTGCATTGTCACAGACTTAGTTATTTCCAAGCTATCGGTACAAGCTAGACAAGTGAGACACTTAGACACTCACAAGCTAGACAAGTGAAGCTAGATCAGTCTTTAATAACCCTTTAGTGCACAAGAGAGACCTAATACACACAAGAGAGTTAAGAAAATGCTTGTGTATTCACTAAAGACAAAACTCTTACACTTTTGATGGATGCGATGCAAATGAGCCTTTAATAAGGTAACCTAGCATCTCTAGGAACATTATAAAGCCTTTATTAATTAGGGTGTGTAGAAGGCCTCTACTACCTTACAAGAATATTCTAGATCCTATTCTAGAAGTACATTCTAGAATCATGTACAACCTTCCAACATTATCTCAAGTCTTCTAAGAACTTTCGGAATTTTTCACTAGCCTTCATTCCTTCATCCCTCCTCTTGATAGGCAATTTTGGTTACATAACTTGGTAGGATGTGACATTCTCTCCCACATAAGCTCGTGATACTGTCATTGCACTTTCTTCCTTGAAATCACAGGTTTTCTCCTTAAGTTGCGCCTTTTTAGGTTTGCATGTCTACTTGCCCTGTCGTTACATTATATATCTAGAAAAATTACAAAACAAAAAATTTGAATATTATAACAAAATAAATTTTGAGTTTTTAATTTTTTAAATTTAAACTCTAATTTTTTGATTTGTTTTTACATTTAAACTATTTATCTATTTTTGTTAAATAAAACTGACAAAAAATAATATTTTAGTCACTATGTTTAATAAAAAATATATTTTAAATACTTTTTGTACATCTACATTGAAAATAATGACTAAAATATCAATTTTTTTCATTAATTTTTTATAATAAAAATAGACAAATAATTTAGATTAAAAAATTAATTTGAATTAAATTTTTTAAAAAAATCATTATTTATTTTGATTTTTTTAAAATCAATTATAAAAAAATTAAAATTTATCATAAACACAACTTTTTTAATTAAGTTAAAATAGTGAGAAAAAAAAAAAGTCAAATTAACCCATGAGGGCTCAATCCGAACCATTAGGCCTCGTTTGACAATTTTTAGTTTTAGAAAAAAAACTCACTATAAATTATGACATCATTCTCTCTTTTTTATATATATTTTTTTTATAAAAAATCAAAAAATTAATAAAAATAACTCAAAGGGCTTTTAATTGGGCCATTTCCCTAAAAAAGCCAAATTATCAATTCAATTCCCAAACTAAATCTAGTTTTCCCAAAATAGGCTAAAATATAGTTCACAACCATGCTTTCAACATCTGTGTACCTATCCCACGTGAAAATTGGGAAGTCTTAAAAACGTGGTTACAAAACGCGCTTTTAATTAATAAAGCGCGGTTACAAAAGGTGCTTTTAATTAAAAAAAATTTCTTCTGAAATCGTTTTTCTGAACCACGCTTTTAACTTAAATTTTTTTTCTTCTGAAAACGTGATTATGAACCACGCTTTTTGGCAAAAAAAATTTTGTTGTGAAAGCGTGTTGTGAACCCCACGCTGTTTACATAAACTACACCAATTATTTAGTTTCAGTTTAACTGAACTCTGAAGAAGAATTTTTTTTTTTTTTTTGTTTCTGTTGTCATTGTTTTGGTGATAATATATTTCAGAATAATTTTTTGGGTTAAAATTGTTTTACTAAAACTGTTCTCATGTTAATTTTCTTTTCTTTTCTTTTGTCTTTATTTTGGGTTAGAAGGTGTAATTCAGAATTTTTTTTTGGCTTTACTAAAGTAAATTTATTTTGTTTTTTCTTGTGTTTGTTTTGGGTTAGAAGGTGATAATGTAATTCATAAATTTTTTGAGCTTTAGTAAAGCCGTTTTGATGTAAAAAAAAATTTATTTTATTTTCTCTTTGTTTTGGGTTAGAAGGTGTTATTCAGTAATTTGTTTGGGCTTTAATAAAGCCGTTTTCATTTAAATATATACATATATATTTTCTGTTATCTTTGTTTTGGGTTAGAAGGTGATAATGTAATTCAGAAATTTCTTTTCGCTTTACTAAAGCCGTTTTTATGTAAAGTTTTTTATTTTTTATTTTTTATTTTTTTCTCTTGTCTTTGTTTTGGGTTAGAAGGTGTTATTCAAAAATTTATTTTGGCTTTACTAAAGCTATTTTCATTTAAATAATTTTTTTTTTCTGTTGTCTTTGTTTTGGGTTAGAAGGTGATAATGTAATTCAGAAAACCTTGAGGAAAAAACACATAAGTCTCCCACAAAAATATATAGGTAGTACAGACATAAGTCTCCGACAACAATACATTCTGGACACCATGAACTGAACACACAATACATATATAAACATAACAGTTAGACAGACAAATATTAGCCAGACAATTTGACAAACTTATTACGGAAACACTTAGTCTAACACAGACATTACATATTAATGCATGACCTAATATTGCCGAAGTGTAGACATTAACACCTAATTCGTGCTTAAATCAGTAGGTGGCTCAGAGTCTGAATAATCCGAAAGCTCAGCGTTAGAGACAAGCTCAGGATCCTCCATGATACCCTTGATAGCCGTAACATTTGGTTCTATTCTGTTCTTCTGGGCATCCTTCTTAACTATGTATAGCTGCATATCGCGGGCTAACCTACGGCGCATTTGAGAAATCTCACGTTGTAGTCTTTCACATAGTCGATCAACATTATCAGGATCTTCCTTTTGGATCTCAACAGAACGTGCTTTTGGCACCTTCAATCGATTTTCCCGACATAATCTTTCCATTTGGACTCGCTCTATAAATAGTGCGGGCCACTTCAGAAGTCTAGCGTTTGCTAAACCATATCTTGTTTGATTATCTGATGGATCCTCCACCAAACCACATGGATCTCGATAGTACTTGGGCATGATAAAATGTCGCTTCCCAAACCAATCATGATAAGCACAAGAGGCATCTAACAAAGTAAATGGTGTTTCATCTTCAGCATCGCCACTTCCCCTTCCCTATCCTCGTCGTGAACTGTCACCCGTTTGCAAGTTCCTACCACCTTTGC